TTCTGCCCAAGGGGCAACTCTGCTGCTTTTCAGTCTTATGAGCATCGCTAGTGTTGGCCTTGCTTGAGTAAACTATCCATCAGCTGAGCTGACCTCCTGCATTTAAGCATCAAGCCAGCTAGCCTTCCCAGCCCAGGCACCGTGTTGTGCTGCCTCAGTGCTGTGTTGCTTGGGATTTGAGAAGTTTGGTTGAACTGGCCGCACTGGAACTCAACCAGGCAAAGAGTGACAGCTCTGCTGCCATGGCAGGTACTCGTGTTGTGCAGGAAATGAGACCTGGCAGATGATATCAAATGTCCTGTTAGCCCCCTAACCTGTAAATTACAGTGGCCAAGCCGAGGGAATGAAAGAAGAGAGTAACAGCATGCTAAGCATGCAGTAAATATTTTCCCAGAGTCTCTCTGGCAGGTTTTCTCCAGCATCCAACTATCTGCAGCTCAGGGCTCTGGGATGTAAAGATATAGGAATCTGTAGTGCATCTACGTGCTTAGACCCTGACATGGATGCTTTCTGTGGGAAAGAACACAATTCATCAAGAATCAAAATACAGATGTTTCTTTCTTCAAAAGTTAATTCAGGCTTATAAATACCAGAATTATATGATGAAAGCCTGGAGAATTTTATGGAAAAATAGATCAAAAAGCAAGAAAGAGGGAACTTCCCAGCCTACCCTGTTCTCATATTCCCTTGTCCACACCCCACCCATTTGACGATGTTGAGATAAATTGGTATCAGTGATATGGTAAACTGCAAACTAGGTGTGGTTATGCCAGTGGTACAGTCAGTCATCCCATTTTAGCTAAACCATTTTCAGAGGAGCAAGAGGAAGGACTAGGAAGACCTTTGTAATGTGCACAAATATATCAGTGATTTTATGGCCTGGTGACTGGAAGCCCTACACATGTTTCAGTTGATAAGGCAATCACAAGGCTTTCATTCTCATCTGAATAAGAATATTTAATCTTTGCAGCATGAAGTCCCATGTGCTAAATTAAATTTCCTGCCAGCTCAGCAAACAGTTTTGATACTTTGAACTGCATTGTACATGCTTTCCTTTCATCACAGGATGCATTCTGTCTCAGCATCAACAGCCAAGAGGAGGAACACCACTTAGGCCCAGGAGCTACGTCTGCTTCAGCACAAGTATCCATATACTGCAGCCAGTGAGCTGTGGTACTCAGCACCGCCATCAAACAGCAGGCAGCCGGGGTGGGATTCGGATGACCAAGCAGAGGTACCTGCAGTGGGGGCAGCTATGTCTGAACTAGTCACTGCAGGCTCCTTTAACTGTCCACGGAGATAAAAGGCTACTTGATTGGCACAGTGCAGCTCATCTGATGCAAGCAGCGGGGCAGACAGCATCCTACAGGTGCTTCTTTCTCTGCGTTGATTTTTAAGGCTGCGCAGAGAAATAGCTCTAGACAGGTGTAGACAGCCACAGTGCAAATCTCTGTGGTCAGGAAGGAAGAATCTGACTTTCAGTTCCTGCAACTGATGGCATTATTGAAAAAGCAGAGGCTTTTTCACATCATAAATTCTCAACAAGTTTAAAAACATTGCATCTTGGTAAAGTGCACCAAATACTTGTGCTGATTTGGTAAGCAAAGTTTTAACTGTTTTAAATCTTTGTTAAACTTTCCTCATTTACATTTTTACTAAGTGAGAGTGGGTGATAGCTGTGATTAAGAAGGCTTTAAAGAATCAAAAGTTCTATGGATGTGTATGGTTACATGTGGAAGAATGGCAAGGAGATAGGCGATGGAGGTCAGTACAGCTGTCTCCCAGATTCTTTACAATAAATCCCTTCATGCTTTGTTAAGGCAGTGGAAATGTCTACTTCACACTGTAGCATATTGCTGCTTATCTCGTCCTTGACTGGGTTTTCTTATCTCGTCCTTGGCTGGGTTGTGCCATCACACGCTTTCCCTATACGTGTCTACCTGCAAGGCCGCCCACTAGCCATCGCATCACATAGATTTATTGCTCGTGCACATTCTTATATAAAAGCTTCAGGAGCCCATGCCCCTTATTCCTCGCCGTGGACTGTTGCTCCATGGTGCCTTGGACCTCCCTGCTTGCTGTTTACCTCGCTCAGATAATTACTGAGGAACCCCCGCTGGGATACTGAGGTAACAAAAGCCTTTTGATCATCTTTGCATGTGTTGTGTTTGTGTATCCGACCCTGCTTGGGTCTGGTAAGGTGCCACCGCTGGCGGATGCCAGTGTGGTGTCGCTGCGTGGATGTGACAGGATGCTACAGTACAAAGCAGAAGCTAGATTGGGGGAACAATACCCAGTGAAAAAGTGTTTGTCAGGGGACAGAAATTCAGTTGTCTTTTCATCAGCTCTGTTCACAGCTCAGTCCCTTTCTAGCTTTTCCTGCATCATCTGGAGTTCATAGCATTTTAGAGATTTGCTGGCACACGTTCAGAAGTATAGGGGGTTTAACTATTAAAATCAACTAAAAAATACACTTTTCTTTGTTATACCAGTGAAACATCACAGGAAGATGAGTTTGACCTACAAACCTCAATTTCTCAGTATCCCAAACTCTAGCTTTACTTGATCAGAGTAACTGAACATGCCTGAAGAAAATCTTAATTTGCTATAAGAAGGAATTAAATGTGTATAAACAGAAACTAGGTTTTGGCAGGCTATCCTCTTCCCTAATCCCTCAGTTTTTCCCAATTACTACACAGACCAATCACTCTACATAAGTTGTTTTTATTAACACTACAAGAGGCCATCTGTCTACAAATACCCAGTCAAATAATAGAAACTAACACACAAGAATAATCAAATTCAGCTACTGACAGATCTAAAAGATTTGTGTGCAGAATAAATATTTACTTGTTAGGCACTTCAATAACATTCTGGGAGTTTACCAAGCATTTATAATTTCAGGGTGGCAGGGAACTAACAATTCTTTCTCCACCCATTTCAAGAATTTTTACTTTCAATCACCAAAGATGATGTAACACGAGGCCTTTCCAGTCAGCATCACCCTGTTATCACACCCCTAAAATACTGTGCATGCTGTGAATGTTGCAAGGTTATAGAAAACATAACAGCACATTCTGATCCCCAAAATTCTGCTTCTCTTAGAGGTGTCTCATCTGAAAGATCAGTGTTCATCTACAAAACTATGGCTGTAGCAATGGGCAGGTCCTGTGGATGGGTTCCCTGAATCAGTTTAGATGGATTGGGTTTAGTAATTTAAACTAAAGTACTCGGATTAGTTGAACAGTTTCTGTTGAGAACTATTCTAGATTTTAATTTAAACACACCAATTTGCATAGAAGCTTCCTCTAAAAGCTTCAGTTTGAAATCAGCACTATTTGTTATAGTCAACATTTGTGTTGAAAAGGAGGGAGAAGAGAAAGAAAAATGGAGAGGCTGCACAGAACTAACCTGCTGGCCAGCACTAGCAAATATAGCATCTTGTATCATATTGTGCTGTTATTTTCTGCTATCCCAAGTTTCCATGGGGACAGAAGAGATTGAAAAGGTTGCAATACATCTCTGAGCAATAACAAAATGCATGCATGTGTGGAAGAGGGTGGTTTCCCTTCCTCTTCAACAGTGTAAGAAATGGTAATGATCCAGTAGTGTGTAGCTACTTTTCAGCCACTCCTCAGCTTCCATGTTTTACCGTTGCTCATCCACATATGTGAGAGAGAGGAAGACCCACTAACCCTATGAAAGAAACACCCTGGTAGCCACAGTGCCTCCCAGGGGAGGCTCTTGCTGCTGAGCTGCACGCAGAGCTGCACAGCTGCACATTTCCCGGTTTGCCACAGGTAGGCTTGAGACCCCAGCCTGTTGTGTCTGGCCCTGACACTTGGGAGGTAAAAATTCAGAAGTGTTGCAGGCACGTGTGATCACTCTGTTGCATTGATTTTCATCGACTTGCCTCAGAACTGAATTTGCCTCAGTGGCCATAATGATTCTAACCTGTAATTGCAGGTTTTAAATTAAGTGTCAAAATATATTAAAAGCAGCTGATCACAATGAAACAAAATTTAAATATGATGAAGAAAGATCAAAAGAGTTTTATGGAAATGGAATAGACTGCTCCTTGAATTATTATCTCTGCCTGAATACACAGATTCTTCAAATGAAAGCCTGCCTTAGAAAATCTTGCTTTCAAAATATATCCTGGGATTTCTGGTTCTTAAGAGAATGAAATATACAGGAGGTATATCTTTTCATAACTACCTTATGCTGTAGAGTTATGATATACTGAGAACAATGACCACAGTAACTAAAAAGGTATGCATACAGCAGGTTTGTATAAAAAAATTACATAAATGTTTGCAATGTGATCCCAAGTATTACCATTACTGCTTAGGGAACTAAAACATTTCACCAGGGATAACTACAGCAGCCAAAAATCAACTATTATGTAATAGCTGAAAAAAAAAAAAAAAAGAGGGAAAGGAAAAAAAAACCCACTCTGCATCTCCTCATGGTCCCTGGGGTATCTATCCAGACCAGATGTTAGGAGGGAAGGATGTGCTCGTACAGCCTGCTGCACAACAAATGACACAAGGACTATGCTTCTTGCAATAGGGTAAGTAAAGAGGCATCAGAAATGCTGAGAAACTTGTGCTTGCGGAAGGCAAGAGAGACGAAGAAACTCCTGTGCTTAGTTGTAGGTCTCACCTTCAGAAGATAAGGGGCCAGCTCCTGGCTATGATGTTTGGTAAATCAATTAATCTCTTGTGCCTCAGCCACCCGTATGATGGCTTAAGCCAAATAGCAATTTTATATAATTCAGGGCTATGTTAAAAAAATGAATAATTAATTTTAAAATCAAATAGTCATACTAATAGATATTAGTTATTATATGTTGCTACACAATAATATAGTTGCTATAAGATATATTTGTATCTGCTTTGCAAATAAAACAGTGCATTTGGAAAACAGTTCTCCAACTACAAAATCTACACTAACAAAACGTATTCCCCTTCCTGCATACACTATTCTAAGGCACTTACCACCCACATAACTGTGGCCACATTCAGTAGGAGTTGTTTCTTTTTTTATTAGCTCAGTAGAGTGAACGCAGTATGACTTCAGAGCGCAGAGAGGGACCAGCAATAAAAAAAATGCTCTTCGGCTGTTAAACCCACACACCATTTTACTGGGCCTGAGAAAAGGATGGACAAGTAGCAGGAGAGTTAATGTCAGGAAATAATAATAACACTAATACTTCACTAATTACTCTTTTCCTCTGCACTCGATCAAAAGTGAGATTAAGACTGCAGCTAACCAAAAAATAACCCCCCCAAATTTATGTTAAGAATAAGAGGATACATCTGTTTCCGGCCTTAGCCAGATCTGCTCACCCTTGTCATCAGAATAGCTGCACTGAGACACAAAGTTCTGGAGATTAAAGCTGAGGGTCACTATTTTTACCCAGAAGAGCTGAAGAGTATGCGTAAGAGTGGTTCATTATGTCATCTCTGCCTGTGACAATGCAGAAGTATTGCCAAACAGGGAAACTTCTAACTGTAAAAAGCTCATCTGAGTGAATGCAAGTGAGAGATTAAGGAAATATTTGACCCAAAAGAGTTCTTCACTCCATTTCTGGAAGACAAAAAGACAAGCTTACCATGGATCTAACTAAGCACAGCACTAACATTTGGCTTTAGCAGGACTTTGCCAGTATGATGAACATGTCTCAGCCCTTACAGCGGGAAGTCCTTCCCATATTTTAGAGCTGGGAAAGAAGTATTTTGAAAAGGGACTCCTAAATTTAGTTTTTCTTTTACATATCTCCAGTTTTGGCCTGCTGGCAGGATTTTTTTAAAGATTAAATTTGCTACAAAAACTATCAGAGTGGGAATACCTAGTCACACTGACAACTTACTACCATCTGTTCACTGGTTATTCATGAGTGGTTGGAGTCCCCTTTGTGCTAAGCACTGCATGTATGCATAGCAAATGAGAAAGTGCCTGCCCCAAATAGCTCAGAATAGACAGAGCTAAGACGTGCCCAAGACTGCAAGATGTACATGGCAGAGATGGGAAATGAGCCCAGGTTCTCTCATTTCAAATCCAATTCCAATTCATCTTTCTTTCTGAAATGGATTAGAAACTGTCCTGTGTCCGTAGGGAAAAAAGGTCCATATCACTGACTAATACACACAGGGTTTTAGTCATCTGTGGCTAAACACAGGAGGATGTACAGATGCTGTGAATGGGAAGGCTAAATTGTCATTTAAGCCGAATGAAGGTGGAGGCTCTGCTACAGCTTGCACTGCTCAGAGTGATAGCAGCAGAAGTAATCACTCTGTTTCACACAGACTTCTCTCCCTGTGAAGCCTCCTGTGCTACAGGAAATAACGGTTTGGTTTCTGTCATCCTTTTTCTCCCTTCCCTAATATAAAACCCAACCTACTGCCATTCTAGCAACCTTCTATCTTCAAAATGCCTGAACCAGGTTTCTCCAAATCTGAGATTTACAAAAGAAAAATACCTTTGGAACCTTTTTCAGTTGTCTTGTTTGTCTTTTTTTGTCCAATATCTCAGGACCTGATTGGGCAGTGGGGAGATCTGAGCAGGGAGGGAGAAAGGGAGAAAAGATCCCTGCTCGAATAAACAGCCTGTTCCTGCTCCTCACTGCCCAAAAGACCTGCTGATATCACAGAATCTGTGTCATCGATTTTAATGACATCTTGAACCATCAACCTACAGAGCCTGCTGTTACTGCACTCCTAACTCAGGCATTAAGTTAGATGGAACAAATCCCAGTCCAAGTATACGTCTGGATTACTGGTATATTGGAGCCTCAGAGACAGGGAGGTGCAGAAGGTCCATCCAGAGAAGCAATGCGCAGGAATTTAAGGTATTGATGCAGCAAGTCTTTCTGTAGCAAACAGCAAGAACTCTCATGTGCCCACGGAGGCAGGTCTGGATTTGTCTTACTGACCTGCAACCAGGCCCGTTTCGCAAAGTCCCTCTGCACAGGAACAGAGGAGGCCAGGAGCTGCAGTGATGACCATGCAGCTGCTCTGTGCTGTGTCTGCAGTAACATTGCATCACCTGAGCCCAGGAGATCCTCACATGGTGCTCTTTTACCCTAGCTTTGCAAGAAATTAGGCACTTAATTATAATGTAAATGAAGAACTATGGAAGGTGGTGCCTAGGTTTTTGACAGCGTGATTCACAGTGGTTACTTGTGTCCTTTCAATGAAAGCGATGTAATTAAGGAAAGCACAGTCAGATCAAGTTTGCCTCCCAGAAGGAGACAGAACTACAGTGACTGAAGCACATAACAGCACGATGGAAAATCAGCACTCCTCCACAGTTCATGCAATGAAGCACTCACAGTGTCAGCTTTGAACTATTCTGCAGTGTATTTTGAATAACACATTACTTATATGCCTGGAATAAAACATAGGAATCTTAACACTACATTGATTTGACTTTGTAAGTGGTTAACTCATAAATCCTCTTAATCAAACAAATGTGTCCAGACTCAAGATTAAGGTTGTTTTTAGGATTTTTTTTTTAAAAGTCACCACTGCCAAATTTTAACTGTAAGGGAAGGTGTTATATGTGCAGTTTCTGGTGTTACTGCTCAGCCTGCAATGAGATTATGGTATTGTTAAATTGAAGGAATTCCTGTTCCGTGGTGTTGTTTTTGGCTGATCCAGTATTGTGGGTTAACTTCATGTGATGTATTTTCTTTAGAACAAATTTCCTTCAATTCATCAGCAGAAGTTCAAGCTGCTCTGCTAAAAGTTTGTGACATTTTTTTGGAAGTGGTTATGAACATGCCAATGAAAAGTTAACGGATTGTCAGGAACACGCCCTTGAGAATGACGTTTCTAATTTTTTCTTTATTCTTTATCTTTTGTTTATCCTCTTTTCCCTTTTCAATACTACATCTTTCCAGCCTGGCAAAACTGTTGTGTGAAGCTGTCTACTTATGACACAACCCTAGAGAGCTGCAGAAGAACCCAGACCAGGGAAGAACAATCTAATTATCTGCTAGAATGGAGGCCTTGAGCAGCAGAGATCCAAGAGCAAACCCGCAGTTAGTGGTTACTGTTGACTCTATTCCTGGCTCTCTCACGGGCTCGTTGGATAACCACTGCTGACTGATTACAGTTGGGTATTTCAGACCCAGCCATAAAAATAAATATCAACAAATTATCAGTAGTGCAATTGGTGCAGAACAACCAGCAGGTCACCTGTGGAATTGTCTCTAAACAGAAATAGGTGTGTTCTTATGCTTCACAAAGGACAGAAGCAGCCAACACACAGAGTAAAACTGGAATGAGCTTTCTGACAGAGTCATCTGGATCATGAAGGGGTATGCCATTAAATATTTAGTCAGTGGGAAGAGGCATGTTATTGTAGGTAACATAGCTAAGTCATCAGTCTTGGTAATTACAGATAAGGAAACAGTGTAGTCAGCCAAGCAGTGGAGAAAGATGGATTAAAATAATATGGCGTCAGTAAGAAAAGGTAGAGACAATTTTTTTTTTTTTAAATCAAAATAATACCTGCCATTTATTTGTGTCTGAATTTCTTTATATTTGATTGAAATGGACCACTTTGAAAATGTCTAATTGGCTCATTTAATACAAATGTCTGTCCAAGCCTCTTCAAATCCATTGAGAGAGGCAGAGAGGACTATTAAGAAGAAAAAAAACATTAAAAAACAGTCAGCGAATGACCCTTGTCATATAGTCCTGTTCAAACATACACTTTCTTTAACAAGTGCAGTAAAATGCAGCTTTGAATTGGATATGGAAAGAAATATTCCCCCCGAAAAGTTAGATTTAGCTCAGCCGTGAAAGCTGCTCTCTTTAATGTGGCAACAACAGGAACACAAGAGCTTCACATTCCCCTTTTATATGTTTAACCTTTGACAAAAAGGTTAAACACTTTCCTCACAACTGACTCACATCAGGAAACGCAAGAACTATACTCTCCAGATGAAGCCTGGCTAGCTGCAAACTGCAATGTCAGCGTCTGAAGTGTAGTAAAACAAGGATTCCTTGTGCAGTTCCTAGCACTGCTAGAGGGGCAGGAAGTGGGTCAGCAAGAGGGTCTTTTCCAGATGGGAGAGAGCTGAAATGGTGACAGGAACAGTAAGGAAGTTCAGGGCGGGGGGAGAATTGGCTCTAATTTCAAACAACTCACTGAGATCTTTTTTAAATGCGTTGATATATTAAAATCCCCCTAGCAACATAGCAGGAAAGTTTACAAAACATTAAATGGAATATCTGTGAAAGCCTTCCGTGTTTTCCATTTTTTGCCTTACAGATATTTTAGGGCCAGATTCTCATATGGTGTCAATATGCCTTAATCCCCTTCACTTGGCTGATGACTGTAAGATCAGGTTTGGCTGGAAGTGTCGGTTTATTCATTGGAAGACTGGTGGCCAACCTCCTGAACCGTAGCAGCTCCAAACAAAGTCAATCAAATCTGCAAGTACTTAGTACCTCTGAAATTCGGGTCTGGGAACCAGACGGTAACACTTATTTTTGCTTAGTGCCCTAACTGGCTAGAGGGGTACTCCAGGTTAAACACAGGTGGGCCAGAGTTGCTTGTGGAGTGCTGAGGAACGAAGGCTTCAGGAAATGAGGAAGTGCTGAGTATTGACCTCTAGCCAGGACAAAGCATAAAGAAATGATCAAGGGGATCAAGGGTGACTCCACTGCTCCACTTAGTATTTGGAGGGAGCCACCTACATACATACGAGTATGCCTGCAGGACCCAGCATAAGAAGACCCAGGAGTGCAGTTCCTCCACCTAGAAGATGCTGGGGAATGGGAAGAGAAAAGAAATCACTTTGAACATGGCAATCAGCATCTGGAAGTAAGGTCTGCCTGCATCCATGGACAGACCATGGCTGGTACGACAGCTGGGCAACAGAGATCCTGAAAAGGTCTTGATGGGGGTAGATGATGCTTCTTCCCTTCCCCATGGCATACTCTGGGAGGGAAAGGGGAATGTAGGATGTGAAGAACCAAGCACGGTTTTCAGGAGCAGTTCCTCTCTGAGGTGACCCCTGAGCACTGGACTTGCCATCAGCCCCAACTTAATCCCTCCTCTCCAACTCCCACTGCTCTGATCAGCCTTCTTCATTCTAAATTTTAACTTGATTAATTATTCTCTGGCAGGAGAAAGCCCACTAGAAAAAGTCACAGAGCTCTAGGACTTCTTGCTTTTCCAGGCTTCCTAGCTGCCCCACCTTTCCCTGCTGCTAGCAACCAACCCACCCCACTGCCCTGCTCATCCCTCTCGTGACATCACATGGCCTCATGCTTCCCAGGCTTTTGGTAGCAGCAGCAGGAAGCAAGACACAGGGGAACACTTCTCTTGCCTGAAGCATGCATTTTAGGGTAGAAGGGTGAGCTGGCACCTCCGCTTGGCCCATGACACAAAAGCTCTTGAAAACCACAGCACAGTGTAAGGAGCTTAGGAAATGGTTGTGGCCAAGTTCCCGGTTCCCTTATGCACAGTAAGGCAATTGTGAAACTCTCTGTAGCACAGCACAGCATGGGATGGTGTCGGGGTGTTGTCCAAAAGTATTCCCTTCAAGACAATGTGCAGAGAGGATGTGAGGAGGAGGCTGTTCCAGGACTCTCTTGACTCAGAGGGAAGAGAGCTGCTTGTCACAGCAGCACAGACCCCTTCAGTCAAGTTGGTGTGGATGCAGGCTTCACAGCATATTAGGACATGGAAATGGAGTCCTCTCTGTCTTGAGCCTACAAGGAGGTGATCCTAAACCATGAAATAAAATTATAGAATAAATCAGATCTATAGGTGTGATCTGTCCAGCATATCTAGAGAGTGACAATGCTCTACCACCCCTGTCCCGAAGGTCTATCTTCTGCTTCCTTCGTTGTATGTGCAGTATAGCAAACAGTAAATCCTAGCTCTGGAATCTGGTGGGACTTCTCCCACAATCAAGGACAAATTCACTCTAAGGGAAGCAGAAACTGGCTCTTAACTACTGATTCACTCTCCCTCCAACACCAAAATAAACAAAAAAAGAAACTCTTCTGCATGTGATGAGTATTAAAAAATCAGTTTTCTTGGACACTGGGATGAAGAGGGTCAAGAGGTACCCCCTATGCACTGACCTGCAGCATGCTGTACTGCACAGTTCTAACAGGGGGTGCAGCCACCATCTCAGTGTCCCCCAGGAGACCCACCACTGCAGCAAACTACGGGGTTATACTGGGTTTACAAATGGCAGTGAGGACTCTGGCAATCAGCACATTCAAAAATCATCAGACATCTGGGCTCCAGCATTTTGGTATCAACTGTGCCCATTCTGCCCCTCTCTTAAGAAAGCTTTCAAGCCCAATATTTTACATCAAACCGACAGCATTTGCTACAAATATTGTCATAGAAACACTGCATTTTCTGCAGCTTAGTATACAATGCTAGCAGGCACCAGGTGGCGATGTAATTACAAGATTAGCAGTCATATCACAAAATCATGTTGTAGTAGAAGTGTTAAAATTATTATCTAGACACTTTCATATATCATTACTGATCCAAAACGAAAATTTTGTCACTCTCTAGCAACTGCCTGATCTGACAAGTACTGACTTTCTGATCCTCAGTAACAGGATAGATTTGACCTTTAAAAGACTAAAAGGAAGGTTACCTCAGTGTGGGATAATTGACAGCTTTCAGCAGGATTTTTTGAGACAGATTCTGAGTGGGTTTGCTCATGTTTTCGTGTGCGCATGTGCATGTGCGTTTCAAGGAGCAGGAATAACTTGTGAATGGGCAGAATGAACTCGTGCCCTGCTCATGAAAATAGCAGACACTGTGCATCACTACTTTGCAACAATTCTCCACTGCAGAAGGGAAAAAAAGAAGCGAGTAGAACAGGCATGTAGGGGCTGACTCAGTGAACAAATGTTCACTTAGTGGAACAAACAGAAGAGACGGTAACGAACATCCCAGCTTGCTGACTGGAATAGCTGGCACTAAGTGCTCAGACCTGTAGCACTAATGGGCTCTCCAATTCAGGATCAGGAGCAAACAGACCTCAGGCCTGTTTCTCCTCTCATCAGGAGTAGCACATTAAAGTCAGCAGAGCTATTCTGACATACATTCCCCTATCTGGATGCCAGATGGGAAATAAGTAACACATTTTGAAGAGTGAGAGTGACTAACCATCGGAACAGACTAGCAGGGGAAGCAGCAGATTCTCCATTTTCTGCGCCCAAACTGGATGCCTGCTTTGTGCAAGCTGTGTTTAAGTGAGACACACAAAGCTCACTGCAAGGACAGCAGTCTATGGTCTGTGATTAGAGAACATACTATTCAATCTGGCTCTCAATTTTATTAACTTGTAACAGTCAGAGCAAATGAAAGGAGAATTGGGCCCTGCACTATTGTTTCTCAGGTAGGTGCGTGAACCAGTCTACTGGAGTAAATACTTGCAATGCGGGATTCAAAGTTCATTTTTTTCATAACTCATCTGCTGTTATAATCACATCATTTGATATTCACATTAGCTCATCTAAACTGGTTATAAGTGAATTATCTTCCTTTTGGGAATTAGTACCTTTGCTCTGCATTGTGATTTTGGATAACAAAGACCAAGCCTAATTTACAGGCAAAATTTGTGACCCCAACACTTTGGTTTTACTATTGCATCTCTGATGCTTAATCCCATTTAAGATTTCAGCCAACTTGCAAGAGATTGACACAAATCATTCAGGTAGAATCTGCCTCTCTCTGCAATAAAGTATGACCTTTGAAGTTCAACATAAATAATACTCACATCAGACATTCATTTGCCCATAATCTCTTCCAGAGAGCAAAGATTGTGAGCTAGTTTAAAATGATTTCTCATCAAAAAGACATATGTTTCTCTACAAACAAATAATATAGTTTGTAAATGCTTGTCTGTGTGTCCTCAGACACATACATTTACTTCTAATGAACTGTGGAACAAGAGTATCCAATGAAGATGGATCCATGCTACTGTAACTAGCAATTGGCAAAACTGACTCAGAAAACTTAATCAGCTGAGTTTTAAACAAGCAACATGCCTATGCTTTCACTCCTTTTAAGCAACATGAACATACCACCAACCATAAATCTTTGTACTAGTTCAGTTAATTCTGATAGTCTAGTACATGGAAGAGCAAAGATATAGTATCTCTAAATGGTGACATTTTATTCTCAGAGTTTCATTATTATTCATTTGGTATTCTGTGCAATGCATCTCATCTAGATTAATGCAGTAGATATTCATGTGGATCTCCCCTTCAATTAAAACTGTGTTATAATTCACGATTGGCATAACTAATTGAAATAATGCTTCCTTTTTCAATCACATAATCTACACATTACAGAAGTATGTAACAGTCTTTTTGTCTGCTCATTAGTAAGTTGCATAAAAAGAATAGACCAGAACTGAGTTTCTTGAGATAAAGGAGATGAAAAGCTTATTTTCTTCTGCTGTTTAAACATGTAGATGGCTATGAATAATTTGTGAATTTCCTGTACACATATGTGCCCATCTCCATCTCCAAGCATCACTGCACGTAAAAAAGGAACTATCCTGTTCAGAAAGCAGTGGTCCAGAATAGTCCCAAGTCACCTCACTGGACTGTATGCAAGAGAACACAGCAAACCAGCTCTTTGTGGCTGTCCATCAACAAGCTCTGTTTTCAGTCACTGTGCCATTCTGCCCTTTGTGTAAAACTACTGAAACTATTTGGGATCTCTGCTGTCTTCCACCTTCAGAGTTCAGTATAAAAGGCAACTTCTTTGCTACTCCCACACAGAAAAGCCTGAATCCCAAAAGGACTGACTGCAGTGGATCAGGCCAAAAAGCTTCCTCCCTGCCACCACAAGCACTCAGGTAAAACTGACTCCTTCTAAAAACTCAGCTTTGGGTCCTGCGGTGCTTTTTCAAATTTTGAGATCAGGCATAATCTACATAACAGATGTCTTCCAAGGATTAAATCATGTGTCACAGTCAATATGATAAATGGGCCTATATTTTGGTGCCTATTTTACATAGTGCTGCAGAAAATGGACTTTTCTGTTCTCATAATTTCTAATCCTGCATGTACATTTGCAGTCTCTCGGGTCATTGCTCCTTTTCTTGAACAGTGTGTTTTGTTCTGCATCAAACAATAAACCAAGCACTTCCTCACCATACTCTTCTAGTTTTTTATCTCCTTTTCATTGAACAGGATTTAAAAACATTGTTTCAAACCCATTTTTGACACACTGTTGCGCTGCACCAAATTTAAATAATAGTTCCCTGGGGTAGGCAGGTACTTGTTCTCTCTTCAGTTAGTGGTGCACTTTGTTGTAAAGCACAAGGAAGCACCAGCTATTTCAGTAGAGCTGAGCTTAAGCTGTGTTTTCCTGGAAAAATATATTGCCAAGCAGTAACAAACACAGCTGTCTGTTTTTTGTTTTGGGTCAGGTGGTAGAAGATCCGAAATTAATTCAATCTCCAAGATGCATCTCCTGAATGAACATAGATAATATGAAAATCTCCTACCCGGGGAATTATAGTATATGTTCATTTTTTACCGACTCTCAGGGACAAATTCTACTTCATATCTACACCAATGTAAATTCATAGCAATAGCACTGACGTTGGTGGTCTTGCATTGAAATATACCCTTGTATATCAAATTAGGGTATGGCCCTCCATCCAAAGGTGGAAGGTATGTATGGAAAATGTTGATTACTTATTAAAAGTGGAGTGCCTGCAGTGTCATTACCAGCTGAGCTAATATGTCTTTTCAAATTTTTGAGGATCATTTACTAACAGAGCTTTTAAATATATTTTAAGATATGAGTTTAAAAAATGGAAATCCTGAAGAAAGCATGAATTGTTTTTTAGTATTTCTCCTCACTGCTCTGAGAAATTTGCTCAAAATTCAAGAGAAGGCACTGCCCTGCTCTGTATCCCCCCAGATGCACTACTATGGGTTAGCCAACTGTGTGATCTCATGGATGAACCACTGGCCTGAGGATCCAGCAGCCAGGCCCTGCTGCCCCCCTGCCATGACCTGCCCTTCCCCTAACCTCAGTCTCTGATCTCTCCACTCTGCTCCCTGTGACTTATTTAAACTTCAAGCTGGGAAAGTACCATTGTTTGGGGCAGCATCAAAAATAAGTCTCAAATGTGTCGAAACACTTTCCTGGGACTGATGAGTGTATGTTCTCTGAGCACAGCCTGTTTGGCCAGGGCTGGCCTCCAGAAGTCATGGCCAAGCTCTAGCTATGCTGGCAAAGTCCCCTGCAGATACTCATCATACAACAACTAAAGGAGTTTCTCTGAAAGCATTGCTACACCGGGATGCCTTCCTCCTCTCCTCCCCATGCCTCCATCTAGCAACTACTCTAGCCAAATACTGTGGTACAAACCTGACCTTGATCTATCTGCTTCTTCCTATGAACACAAGAGCAATCAGCTACAGCTCTTTTCCATTGATGTAACAGAGATCAGCTGTGCTCAGGGCCCTAAGCAGGGGTGTGATTACAGGAGGCAGTAGACCCCCCGTATCACCAAGTAGAGGTCTGTGTGGTGGGACAGTGGCACAGCCAATGCACAGCCACCCTCTCCAGTGCAGCTGCAGCTGCCCCACTAGGGAGTCAAACCTGGAATCTCTGGGGTGTTGCTGTAGAACATCTAAATTGAGTTGTTAATTCAAGAGGCCGCATTATGCTCCAAAAACCTCACCTCAACAAGCAAACCCATCTCCTTGCTCTCTGCTCCCCTCCCACCTTGCCCTATCTTTACACCTTTGGATCCTTATGTGAAGTTAGCACCTATGTCATCCTCTGTGAGGATGTAAGGGGGTCATTTTCCTTCTGTACTGTTGGTTTTTTGCTTTTGTTTTTGTTTTTTTTTTCCCTTTTTGGAACTGTTCTTGCCATTTTGCAGACAAGTTCCCAGCTCCAGGAGAACAGTGCATGCCTGCTGTGGGTGTTATGTGAACGGAAATTATGTGGTTTGGATTTTTACATGAGAATTCCAGGAGAAGGCAGAATATTGCAAATAACCTCCATAAATCATTTTAAACAAAGCTCAGGAAATGCCATAATGATTTAACTGGCAGTATCTAAAAAGAAGTTCACACTGTTCTCTGACTCCTGGTAAGTAAGTATGTTTGCTTAAGATGTAATTGAAAAAGTACTGTGTTACCGTTTACATTTTCCATTTTGTATCTCCTGTCCAGGAACAGCTCATTGCTGGCAGCTCTTAGTTTGTACTATGCAGTATTTCATCATCCAAACAACAGTCCCTCTGGGGCTACAAAATAAACGGCTGGAGGGAGATAGGTACCAACCAGAAAACGGCTGGGGAAGGCTGGAGTGAAAGGCTGGTGACATCTATAGAGCTGCAGAGTTACTGCAGTTTCCTTTGCCCTTCACTCTCCTCAGTCATTCAGGCTGAGAAACAACCACCCTTTACTCAGTGTGGGATTCCACACTTAAAACACCAGTCTGGTTATTTGTTGTTCTCTAGTGCCTCATTTATTTATGTCACTGCAAAATTGTGCCTAACCAGATTACTGTTTTTTAAGAAATGCTCTTTGCAGGTGAGTAGCCAGACATTGAATAACCAGATTTGCTTAGTCCAAATCAGTGAGGAGTGTTGGTTGGGAAGGAGATACATTCTCTACTGTAAAATACCACTTTTAGTAAACACATTTAAGGAAACAAAGTTAATATTACCAACCAGAGACGTACTTTCAGGACAGCAGCAGATGTCTTGTTGCCATCAACCTTTGACATCCAAAGTCACACTGTAATGAGCTATGGAAAGAAAAAGAAGAAAATTTGGAGCACAATAGTAAAATCTGGGAGTCTGTGATCATTTCCCTTACTGATCTTCCACTAGGCTTAAAGACAGGATAGTGGATGAGCTGTTTCAAGAACATATGCAGTTATAAAATTATCTCTTGCCTCATTGGTTTTATATGAACAAAATAGTTGTCTACAGTCAAATCTATTTACTTGCTTGTCTCTCAGGTAAGTTTTATACTGTTCAATAAAAGCTCACCTGTCTTCATAAACAGATAAACCTTACTTATTTAGAATACAAAATCAATACCAGGACATCTCACATTAATTCCAAGATGTTAAAAATCACTTATTTACCTACTTACTACTACTTTTACTTCTATTTTTACTGCTTAGCTGCCCCAGGAGGGCTGGGGTTCAAATACATCTATTTAGAGAGAAAAGGCCTCAGTCTGATGCTCTGATAGAAGACAAAGTCGGAGAGAAGAAATATTATCATCCTTTTTTTTTTTTTACCAGTAGGAACTGAGGCACATGGTAATTTGCTCATACACTCCAAAAGCCTGTGTCAGAGACGGAATTTTAATTTAGATCTCTTGAGTCTCTGCAGTGCCATTTCTAATGTCTCAGTGAAAGGAGACTTGAATTTCTGTCACATTTCTGAGGCAGCGGGCCTCAGACAGGCCTCCTTCAGCTTCCATACATGACTGCAATGTGCCTCAGAGAGTTGCTCTGAGTGACAGGAGGCACTTGCTTTCCCTGCTGGCAAGATAAGTGTGTTTATTATTTTCTCAACCTGCATTTTGGAAGGTTACTTATGCAGGCTTAGAAGTTCATGTGTGACTCTTCTGTGCCAGTCCTCAGAGTCATGGTCCCTGCTGCTGAATATTTGCAATGCTCTTTTGATCCACAGCTTTGAAGACAGATCTATCAGAGAAGATGGGGAACTGCCACAGCTGTCTTTTCTGTAAGTATTTATTTATGCTTATAAAACCAGATAGGAAAGGTGCTCATCCTGTGCCCTAGGCACTCTTGATGATTATTTAAAAGCACAGCATAACAGAAAGGCAAAACCAGTAGATACACAGAGCAGCAACCTTTGCTTAGAGCCCACATCAAAAGTGAGAGTGTAACATGAAAGACTAAGGTCCAACAGACCTCCAGCATGAAAAAAACAACACACCACACACTAAGAAACAGCCATTTTCCAAAAGCCCTAGAAATTGCCAATTCTTAATTTGGGACTGAATCACAACAGATTGGGGAATTCTGCACAGAGATGAGGTAGAAGTACCCAGGTCAAGCAATATGACCATCACAGAGCAGGTCCCCGGAACATCTAGAATGTAGTTTATCTATGCAAATAAAAAAAACGAACAATAATTCTTCATGACCACTGAAGAGCTTCTCAGAAATTCTGACCTTGAAAGCTCAAGCAATTTGCACATGATTGGTCACAAGTATTGACAACTCCATATAAAAATCCCTCTGTGGCTCCCCTCTCTTGCTCAGGCTCCTAAAGGTATCAGGGTTAAAATATAGCAACTGCACACTCTCTGTTCTGATCCAGTACAACAGCATTCAAACACAGGATGTGACCATGTCACTCTGGGGAAAAAAAAAAAAAAAAACAAAACACAAAAAATGATCAGCGAATGTCTTTTCTCACTCCCTCTTCTTCTGAGGCTTTTCTAATCATTCAGTGCTGTTCACTGGAGGCCGTTGTTTTTTCCCAGGAGGTCACAGCTGCCTTGAGAGAGTATTCCTGAAGCACCTTAAGTGGCTTTCAGAGGAAGCTGTGACATTTAGATGCAGGCAGAACAAACCAGGAGGTTGAGAACACCCCACTGGCTGGTAGCTGAATGCTGGGCACAAACAGAGTGCCTCAGGGTGCAGAATTACAGCCCTCCTCAGATAGGAGGCACGAATTGAGAAGCCATCCTCAAATACATCCCAGGGAAATCTCAGTTGCAATTATTCTCCTTCTTGCAGTTGAATTGGCAGCTAAATACTGAATCTTGTACTGCAAGAAAATATGCTATTATTTTCTTGAAGAATCATGTCCTAGTTCATACTCTCCTTAGATGTTCATTTTCTAGGAGGTCCAGATAGGTTCTGTGTATTCTGAGCAAGCTTTTTGAAATGTCTCTGCATTTGACATGTTGGAAAATATTGGGACAGCATAAAGGATCACTGAATTTACTCTTATTAGACCTATATAAATATCTCTCAATTGATGACCAGCTCCCCTTAGGAGAATGGGGACAGTTTGCTGGAGTCAGTGATTTAAGTTTTAAAAGGTAAATTCCTGGTAAGAATACAGACTAGCTTCAGGCACCATGAATCATTTACACCACGGGTTTGTACCAGAGCCTGTGACAGAATTGCAGGCTTCTGGAATTTTATGTTAGCTGTTCTTTCCCTCACCAGGCACCATTTCACCCCATCCAGGTTTCCAAACTCATATTAGCACTGTTCTTTCATATTTTGCATTCTTACATTTATTCTGTCACATGTTCTATTGGATTCCACCCTGACATCACTAGTGTTTACATGAACATGGTAGACAAAGGGATTGCTTCAGTCTTCTGATGCCACAAGTCCCAGCCTTTTTTCCCTCTCACCAATAAACTTCAGGTTGTTGAGACAAATTGGAATGGCTCCAAGTCATATAAATATTAAATTGCATGTGTGTCCACTGCTGTGGTGCCTCACGTGAACTGCAGGACAGCTGCTTTGTGCTGCTTTTCTCTTTGGTCCCAGCTATCTGAGATGTCCTGCTGACACTGAATGGACACAGGGTAGGGCAACTAACACAATATGCCACAGGACTCACCCTACCCTAGGCAATCTAGAGAAACCCAGTGGGTTGGCATGACAATTCCAAATTATTTAAATGACATAGAAACAAGTCAAACTGAATTAAAATCAAAATGTTTCTTTTCTGTTCAGGAAATACAATACAACCAATTCACTTTGGGACTACAGAAATATCTGCGGCCTCCATTTCCTAACCAGCATTTATTGGAACTTTTCAACCCACAGAAAGAAAAACATAACAATGTTATCATGTTTGGCCCAATTCCTGATAAACACAAGTTTTCAAAAAGCAGAATTTCACATGGGATAAAATGCTTACATTTATTTTCTCTTTTACTGCAGAGTGGGAAAGAACCTTAAGCATAAATATATCAACCTCCAGATTATTTCTGCTTTCAGATGGAAAGATGGAGGCATAAAGAGACTGAACTCTGACTGATCCAAGGACAAAAGAACAGTAAATCATCCAAATTACTCTCAGGAGTCAGGAATTCTGACTCTTTGTCCACTGCTATAATGATTAAATGATGATGCCAGTCATGAAAAAAACCACATAACAGGAGAAGGTGGGCGTCAGAACACCTGTAATTGGCAACAACTAGGCTAATCATATATAGTCTGTGGAATACGAATACTTAAAAAAATACTTTATCCAACCCACACAGGAAAACTGTAACACTCCATACTCCTACGATGCATTGTACTATATTTCTTCTTGTTAAAACCATATCAACAGTTTGTGTAACACTCTTACTAACACATTCTTAAGTTAGAAATAGGAAGTGAGTAATAACGCAAGCAAAAGCATCTCTTGTGTTACTTGTGTGTGTGCATGCAATATATTAGTGACATGTGTCACTACTCTGAATCAACAAGAGAGATATTAGATTGCTTGATTCCTGGGTGGCATTAAATTGAAACTGAAGGTCACCTTTTGTTACTTTTCTGCTCTTGGGGACATTGCATCAATAAATACAAACAGGACTTCCATGTTATAAAAGAGTTAATGTACACAGAATTGACATTTAAATGAAAGGATTAAAATGCTGTAAATGTAACAGAAAAAATGGATCTCAGACAGAATTTACTTTGAAATATGGATCTAGTCGTGCCTCAGTACTCCTTTAGGCAAGTCTCACCATCACATTGCAATGAAAACTGGGAAGGGAGCTTTCAGCTGATACTTTAGCAAATAAAGAAAAACTTATTCTTAACTCTTTCATTTCTCACTTGTTGAACTGTACCAACAGCTACCTGAATACAAATAGCTCTAGCCAGTCACATCAAGAACACAGAATAAAAACAAGCTTTAGACATTTTTAAGACTTAGTCCACTCTGGATGTAAGCAGACAGAACTTACATCAACTTCAAAAGGAATTGCCCTGGCTTATGCCATGGACGAGTGTGACCTTAGAGCATATTTGTTTTATATACTAAGTCAAATATATGCAGGTATGAGCTCAGAATAACACTTTTGAAGTTAGGGTCTGGGGGCAAGAGGTTAAGGAGGCTGTAAGGCAGGCTTTGTCCACAGCCTACCATCTTAATAAATTACAAAAGTTCAAAGTAAAGTAAGCTCAGAAGAATTCAAGAAACTCCAGTACTTAATAGTTTTGACCCGTCATTTCAGTTTAGAAGGGATTTTCCTATTACTTCAGCTATGATTGCTGATATATTTGAATCTTCAGTGACACTAATACACAAAATAGTACTGCAGACTCATCATAGAATGCCCTATCTTGACCCTCCAGACCAGGAATGAGACAGAATCTCCAGGCTATGAGGACTTTTTCTTCCCTCATATACCATCCACTCCACAGAGAACTGATCTTGCTGGAAGCTGAAATCTCATCAAGGACTTCAGCATAACAACTGCATTGGAGCTCCTGCTTCCTCAGACTTTGCGCTTCACCACAACCCTCCACCTTCAGCCCTTCACTTGTGACACCCTGGCATCCACAGGTAGCCACTGCTCCAATGGGTATGGAAGCTCTGAAACTTCACTAAGAAGATGGAGGCACATTACAAGAAAAAGAGCCATTTCCAGTTCATTTACTACCTTGTGGCTAGAGCTGAGAGGCCAAGTGGCTGTTTTGGATGGTCCAGAGCATGACCTAAGATCTGGAGAGAAGGAATTATGGGGAAGTAAAAGCAAGGGAATCTGCAAAGGTTCAGTCAGAGTAGGATCAAT